TGACCTTTACTTGGAATTATGCAAGATTTCAGCCACACGGTCCCTATTGTAGTTGAAAAAAATTGTTGTTCAATATCTTGTCTTCTTTGGTAACCATGCTTCTCATTTTGTGATTATGTTGTTTTTTTAGATAATGTTGAGTAATATGTTTAGCTTCTCTATAATATAAGCATAAGCCTTCTTAACATCGTCAAGTCTTTTTTTGCTCTATGAGAAATTCAAAATATAATATATCAATTTGCATCGGTTTTCGCCTTGATGAATTAGTTTTTAAAAACTTGGAAGTTGCCTTCATTATTTGATTTATTCCTCTCCAATGAAATCTTTATTCTTGACATCTTTCAAAGAAGCAATTGTCACATGCAATGGCTTAAGCAATAAATTGTTCCAAAGATTTTACCTTTGACATTGTTAGTAATAAATCTTTAATATTATCCTTCAATCCATATTGAAATTGATTGATAAGGGCTTTGTCATTCTGGTCCATATTACAAGCAAGGTTTTAGAATTTAGCATCATATATGGTAGCTGACTGTGATCCTTATCATAAAGATAAAAGCTTGATCTCTGCTATTCTTTCTTAATTACTTTCTCCAAATGTAGCTACAAACACTTCTATAAATGTATTCAAATCATAAAAGAGACATGAATTTTTTTTATTAGAAGTATAAATCAAGAGAGAACACTTCCTCTTAGAAGTGGAGCTATGAATCTGACTTGAATAAACCCATGAAGATACTAGAAGAAATGCAACCTTAGATAGAATTTGACTTGTTGTAGAAATCTTCAAAATTTTGATCTTGTTTCGTCAAACTTCTCAAGTATACTAATCCTTGCCTCCATCATACTTGTAAAAGTAAAATTCCTTGGATTTGATTGTGAGGTCGACCTACTTGCTTCCTTTAACTACACAATTTCTTGCTGTAGATTCCAAATTTCTTCCATAAGCATAGGCATAGTACTTCCATAATTCACGTAGAAAATATGTGAGATTTCTTCTCTTAAAGTGTTGACAAACTCATGAAGATTTGCAATAGTTGTAATTCTATTCTAACTTCCATTGAGAGTAGCATCTATAATCTTTTCTTCTTTATACAACTCAAACAAATTCAAAAAGTTAAATTACAAGAAGGTAATTTATAACCTCTAATATCAAATAAAAATTTCTACAAAGAAGGATAATTTACTTTCATTAAAGAAAAGATCAATATCAAAAAATAAGATTTTTTTTGTTTATAGATGGATAATCCACAACCTTCAAAATATAATAATAGAAGTGTGATAATCCATTCACTTCTAAAACAAGAAAAAAATAGCAAGTTAACATTCTTTGAAACTGTCAAGGATTTGAATCTCAAAGAATGAAAATTTTGAATATACTCTTATGACATTGAAAGGAATTAGAAAGTCACTCAAAGATGATATAATATTAAATTAGAATGGCTACTATAAAAAATAAGAAGAATAGAAAGTCTCAAAATAAGACTAAAGACTAGAAAAGCATTGACAAGAGTGAAGAAGGCTTTACTCTTGCCTCTATATATACTCTTAACTATGAACTACATGGCGATGTTTTATAAAACCTCCAAAATATGTTGACTTGTAAGGCAAGTTTTCTATATGTGTGCCACATAATTACCTTATTTTGTAAGATATTAACATGTGGTTAATTTTTTAATCAATTTTTTAATCTACCAATCAATTACAAACACATGTAAAGTCAAAGTAGCATCTATGAAGCTTCTAGAAAGCTTTTCTAGAAGATATTATGAAATTAATCTACTTTTATCTACTTCTACTTAAATATATAGGTATTTACTAAGATATCTATATTTATTCATGATAAAATATAATAAATATATATATATATATATATATATATATATTTTGAATTAATTTTTTTGCTATTATTATCTATTTCAAAGGAAAAACTCATAAAGTTCTACAAATGCTTGGATTCATAGAACTTTGTTAGTTTTGTAAGCAAACTAGATTTTATTAACATAATAAGAATGTATAAGAAAAAATCTATTTTTTTCCTTATCAGATTCTTCATCTCTTGATCCTTTGGAATTTATAATTGATCTGCTACATGAATCTTCTTCATGAAGTTCACAAGTTCATGTAACAAAAGGTGATAGAATCAACTAAAGTTTTTTGTGCTTAACTATACAACTTATTATATATTTCTATAGATAGAAATTTGATGAGCCTATTAGCTTTGCTTCTTTTAGAACAATACTATCCTTTGAAACAATACTTAAGACTTATTAAAATTATAAGAGATTGAAATAGATCAGGACTAGAGAAGGTGAAACAAGATCTAAACTAATAAAATTAAACATTCAATCATGAAAGTACAATAGATTGATATTGCTCAAATATCATGAAATATGTATATATATATATATATATATATATATATATATATATACATATATGAAAAAATATTATTATAAAAAGAAGCCAAACTTATATATGCTTAAAGACAAAAATAGAATTATAAATTTAGGTAAAAATAGAATTACTATTTTAGTAAGTCTTGATAAGTTTCAATGTGGATGGATGATTTTGCTAATAACTTCAAATGTAAGAAGGATCACAATAAACTATTTGCATAGTCTTGATTGAATACTAATTGTTCTTATCTCAACTTTAATTTACAACAAATGTGTTTAGAATCTTTACTAATCATTGAAGGTAAGAAGAATTCGTACATCTACAAAGAGTTAGAAAAATTTTGTATTGAAACATCCAACTTCTTGTTTTATTTATTTATTTATTTATTTTGTAATATTTTTTTAAAGCCTATTTGATAATTCATGCAACATTTCTAATATCAAGCTTAGTTATTTGAGATGTAGTTGGCAACACTCAAATATAATTATTTAGTTCTTTACAAATATTTTGCTAGATTTATAATTAGAGTGATAAGAATAAAATTAAGATTTATTTTCCTTTCATCAATGATTATAAAGTTATTGAATGGATTTTTGATAGAACCACTATTAATTTTATGTATTGCAACAATCGAAATAACATTGACTCTTTGATTTGTACATCTTTTTTGTTTAGTTTATATGAAATTTGTTATATTAATATATTCTCTTAATTGTGATATTTGTGACAATAATCTACAAGAAATAATCGTGCAACAACAATGACAAGTAAGGTAGCAACACCACCTTTTGTAAGCAATAAGGAGATGGCCATACAATTGCTTGAGAATAATTATTGATTTACTTAACTTGAGGTTTTGATACAACAACTAAATTTCACACATACTCTTTGGAGAATTATTCATTTGTATGTACTCAAAGAGTGAAGCTTGATTGTCCTTAATTTAAAATAGTAATGTTGCTCTTTGAAGCAATACAATACAACTCGTGTAGTACAAAAACTTTTGAGATTTTGAGCCCATTTCTTACTGCAAATCTTGCTAATATTGTTAGAATTGCCTTCATTGTTGTAAGCTCTTCATTGTGATTTATACCATGGCCCTTTCTTTGACTTATATAACAATAAGTTAGTTTTTATATTAGTTATTTTGAATATATATATATATATATATATATATATATATATATTCATAAGATTATGTCACAGATACAAATTTAGATAAATCTACCAATACACAATGTATTGGTTTAAGAATAAAATAAAATAAATAAATAATAGTGATAGAAAAAAACTAAAATATTCTTACCAAATACAATTAAACTAAGATTTATAAATCAAAATCAAAAAATAATAAAAAGATATAATTTTTTTGGAACTAGATTAAATTCATATCTTTAAATATATTAGGAAATAAAAAAGACATGTGATAGCTTTTCTAGAACCAAAAGATTTATTAGCTAAGCATCTAAATTATATAACATTTCAATAATAGCTTTGAAAACATATTTGATATTTAGAAGAAGTTTTTATAATCACACAACATATTTAGATATATTTTAAAATATAATTTATATTAAAAAAGTTCTTTGAGCATTCTTTAAAAAAAGATATTATGTTCCTAAAAAATTTCATTCTACTTTTATTTACCTTTATTTACTTCTATTAAATTAAAAAGTATATGTATTTTTTTCTAACTAAAAACATAAATAATTTCAATAGCACTTGATTTACTTATTAAGTCTAATTTATGACTTTATAATTTGTGTAATTATTTCTAATGATACATGTAATAGTTTTTTGACCACCTTTTTTTAAAGTGATGTTTTTATTTATTTGCCAATTTTTAATGTTTTGAAATTTCAAAATATTTTAAGTATAAAAGGCTCTGTAGAGTTTTTTTAATAAAAAAGATCAAAAAATATTTAATAGATTAATGAAAAGATAAAAATATAATTGAAAAGATTTAAAATATTATTATTTTGATTTAAAATTATTTTTTAATTATTTACTTCAAATCAAATTAGCTACTCTTAAACTATGTATATGTTTTTTTGATTTTTTGATTTTTTATTCCAGTAATTTTTTTTATTTAATCAAATAATTTGAAAGATTTTAGTTAAGAAAATTTAACTAATTTAAAGGTATTATACAAAGGTAGCATGTAGTGGATGTGTTGGCAATAGCAAAAATTGTAAAAATTATAGAGCATTGATAGTGCCTTATTTTGAATATATTTATAAATTTTATTAGTACTATTTTTGACATATATAATTTTTTTGGATGATAATTTTAAATATATGTGTGTGTATATATATATATATATATATATATTCATATTGCCATAAAATACATAAATTATCATTACTTTATTTTTAAATATGATTTATTATACATGCATAGAAGAAAAACAAGTTTTATATTATTAATTTATATAAAAATTTGATGTCAAAAATTAAATAACATTTGTTATACGGGATTAACTAAAAAATATTAGAAATATAAAAATTTGTTTAAAAATCAAATCTTTTATGTTACTTCTCCTTGGAAAAAACTGACCAGATTTTAGGACTAAAATCCTCTCCAATACAAAAACCACCAACTTAGAGAATTTTTTTTAATATATTTTTTTTATATGAATCAAATATTAAATTACCCTAAATAAATAAATAAAGTTTGTGTCACATTTAGAATTCTATAGTTAGTATAACAAGTGCAAAATGTATTTTTCTATTTTTAAAATCAACGGATTAAATACTGACCCAGTATGACGTGTACTTTTCTTTACATGGTGGGAGTCGGAACGGGAAATTGCTTTAGCCGTTTTACGAAAGAAGCAGTAGAATCTGCACATTCACAATGAAATCAACAAATGAAAAAATATACAAAAACAGCAATTGTTGTAGCAGCAATGTTAGTGTTGGCGTATTGCAGCAAATCAAATCCTTTCAAACAGCTTGAAATCCTCAACTTGATGTTGTTACTGTTGCAATCTTAAAGGTCGCAGAACACGTCTTGAAATCTCCGCACTGTGTAACTCCATCACACAACAAAATGGCATGAGACAATCTCCTAAGAAATTCTAAAATTCCAATCAAAGCGATACTTTACATCCTGCTAGACCAATTATTCAGCATATCGTTGAATTTCAGAACCTAACACAGCTTATGCTCGCTTCTGTTTCCATATTCCACACACATAATTTTGTATGAAGACACGCATTTACGTGAGACTTGATGTGAGTTGCTAAATGTTAATACCCACTTTTTCTTTTCACATTTAGTGAATCCTCTTCAATTACATCACCTCGAACAAAAAAAGAACCCACTGTCACGCACAGCAGCGGAAAATTTAAAACAGAAGAGCAATAACAACGACAAGGAGCAGAAAAAAACATAGGTCGAAAAGAAGCATGACACCTGATAGACTGCCGTTCGATCAATGTCTTCCTGAGAAGACCACGATTCTCCTCCGTGCGTCTGACAAGGTAAGGAATAACGTCTTCAACAGGACCAAAGGCCAGATACTTGCTAACTCTAAAGCCTTCTTGTGCCAAACGCAATGATAATACATCCGCCATACCCTTCAGCTGTGCAAATTGCACTCGAGGATTTTCTTTCGAAAAACCTAATTCTTGTACTTTGGCAGCCGCTTCTTGACCTGCATGTTGCAAACCACAGCTCATCCTTTGGCACATAATTAAGTTTTCCTGTACTACAATAACTTGATCATCAGATTGAGCTACATAAAGAGCACGCGAGACTTGACACTAGACTGAAGACCACGAAATTGTAAAAAAAGCAGAGGAATGTCTGGTCATACCCTCCTTTGAGATATTTGCACACAGTTCTCAGAAATTAAAACGTTAAGGATTTTCTATTAAGGATCGAGAGAGACCTTTGCCCTAGCTAGTGTTTCCATCCATCATCAGCAGAAGGTAGAGGCAAGTATCGCACTGCACTTCACGTTGTGAGTGGCAAGTACTACTGCCCCATCTCCATGTGCTGCTTGCTCAAGCATGAATGCAGCACAAGCGTCATAGCAACGATGTGTCTCTTCAATATTCGAGTGGGTCGGAGCAAGAGCCCCCAAAGAGGATGCCAGTCTGCTTTCTCGAGACATATAAGCCCCTCGTACAAGTTTCACCCCATAAGATAGTCCTCTGTACTGAGAACCCCTGGCTGCAAGTTTTAGTCGTGAAAACGAATCCTTCAAGTATGCCTGAACAGTTCCGTAGACTAGAAGTTGAGCACCCTTGTTGAATTCTGCTGCAGCGGCGTGTATGATGTAATCAATAGCCGGCTGAACGGACGAGTACTCTGCGTCTATCAGTAATGGTAATCCTTCTTGCTCACACGCCTTGCACAGTCTGGTCAGACGCTCATGGGCGGATACCAAGTTTGCTTCTTCTTCTTTCGTTAAAGGTTCCGGAGGGGAGGTAACATGATACACAAGACTATTTTCGGACAAGAAGGGAATGACATCCTGCTTCCATGGCAGTTTGAATCCTCTGTTCACATGTTGCCATCGAAGTAGATTGCTAACTCGTTCCAGGAGTTCGATTGGGCAAACGGCAGACAGCTTCACGCATGAGGAGCTCACCTGCAGAATTGTGATAATACTAGAATAAGAAGACGTTGTGAGCATGTAAGAATGAGATAAACACGTCACAAAATTTTACAACAAAGTTTGTCATTAAAAGTCGATTCTCAGGACGGTAGGAAAGTTAACTACGAAGAGGCAGACAAAAGCGGTGGGTAAACATTTCAAAAACGTTAGTACAAACTTAAGATTATGTCAATTACTTACTGATCCTTGAGGAAGGAGGCTCGTCTGTCGGACCACTTGCAAAAACTTTTCGAGGTTTCTATCACAAGAGGCGTTATCTATTGCATCTTCGAGACCGTAGTCTAGAATGCCTCGAAGCCCTAGCTCCCACATCCTTTGCAATGTTTCCGAGGCTTCCTCAATATTCTGTCCCGCACAAAAATGGGAATAGACAGTGTGCTTCACTCCCCATAGTGCGACTGCTCTGACAGGATAAACTTCCATCCAGGGAGAAGTGAGAACCTTAACACCGAGATCCACTACGGGCCCCATCCCAATTAATTGGACGTTTCCGTAAATCTTTAAGAACTCCAGAGTTTTGAACTCCCCAAAGAGACCCTCCTCGTCCTTCGATTGTTGCAGGTCCAGAGGAAATGGGCGTGCCTTTGTTGTTCTCCATCTGGAAAAATATAAAGTCCTTCCCAGGCTTCCCGATGAAGTTGATTGCTTGAAGAGAGGTCGGCCGCTGCGCCAAGCCATAAAAAATTTGGAAAATGAACAAGTACTCAAGATGGAACTCGCTTGTCGGAACGAGGCTGCTTGTTAGCATTAACATGATCATCACTGTCAGATCCATCCGTCAAGAATCTTCACAAGTAATACAAGAACGACAATACAAGAAAAGGAATAAATGATGTAATTGTTACAACCAATGAGGAGCTGAGCGATTCCTCTTACAACGCAAGTATCGCTTGAAACTCGCGCGACCTCACATACAGGAAAGTATAGGAGGTAATTCATGTCATGATAATATACTTCCCAATTTGGCCACGAGGAAAGTAGGGTTTAAATGTGGGAATATTTTTCCCTTTTAAATAAGAGTAACATGATCACAGGCATAGATACATTACCAAAACACATCAAGAGCGGGTGGAAGTTTTCTGTGTTTTTTAATGAAAATTCACATGACGTTCCCTGTTATGTAGCCTGTATATATATCATTTTATCCCGCGCAACATCACAAATGAAAGAGAAGTGATTGCCAACCAAGTCTGACAAGTTTACGAGACTGAAAACAGAAATCTGATGCGAGAACCCTGCAAAAGTGGAAACAACAGAAACTCGCAGTTGTATGGAAAACAATAACGAGTATTAACGAAGTTCGCAATTGGCCGTCTTAAAGAAATATTCTTCTGTAACGTTCGATGATAAGAAGCTTCAGATAAACTTTTCCCGCCCGATGGAAGGTCGATCAAGGCGAATTCATGTGGTGCAAACAGATAGGGAAAAAAGAAATAGGAAAAAGAACAGAGGATGACTGTCGCAGCTGACGCAATGCAACGAGAATTCATGAATGAGAGGAGGAAATCGGTTTATACACGACGAGTTCGTCCACCGTAGAACGGAACAGAAACCCTTAGCGTTCTATTGTGACGTGCCACTCCATGTTGTGTATGTTTCTCAAAGTTCAGGGACTGCCGAGACGAACGAAATCCATGACATCACAAAGTACTCACTTCTTTCCTTGGCGGTACCTCACGAATACTCAGCAACTGGCGATCCGTATGCGCGCGCGTGTCTTCTATCAGAAGATATGAAACGCTAAAATTCATGGAACAGGTTTTCTATCTCGATCGCGAAACTTCATGGAGCAAAATTGAAAAAGATAAGAAGAGAAAAGGGAAGAAAAAAGAAGAAGAGACACGTCTACAATAATTTGAGCTGAGCACTAAATTGGCTTTCCCCCAGCCTCATTTCCTTACAACACAAAAATTAATAAACAATATTTCCTTTTCTTCTTGAACAATCCTCAAAATCAAGGCCACTTTCAAATTTTCTGGATGAAGAAATACCACAGCAAATCAAACTGAAGACACTTCTCAAGCACCGTAATAAAAACGGTGCTTACAAAAACGTTCTCTTCCGAAAAGGGACTTCAGCTGGTGAATGTATACACCACAAACTACACACCTCCGAGAACGAAAACAATAACTCCTCTTCTCAAGTCCACTCGCTTCGATCAGAAGTGAAGCGCACATGCAAGACTCCAAACTCAGATCCTCACCGAGTATCAAGGAGGAGGAAAAACAAAAAGAAAAAAAGAAAAAAAAAAAAAAAAAAAAAAAAAAAAAGCAGGAATAATCTCAATCGTTGAAGCTTAACCCTCCAACACATCGCTAGAACAGAGACTCAATCTTGCGGCGCTACTCAAAACAGGCAAGGTAAGAGAGCGAGAGAGAGAGAGAGATCGAAGGCTGCGTGGGTTTGCACAGGGAAGGATCTCAGACCGAAACGCAGTCGCTCATGAGAGCAGCAGCCACAGCACTGGACTCGCGAGAGAGACTGCAGGGGGGACAAAGGATGACAACAACGAGGACAGTTCTCGGCACCACTCGGAAGCCTCGATTTACCACCAAGCTTCCCGTTTCCGTGCCACGCGAGCGGGTCGATGGAAACGCTCAACGGTACACACAGCGGGACCCATCCGCCTTTCTTCGTCGAGAGAAGCCGGAATTACCCACTTTCCCTCACCAGCAGTGAGAATTCCCCCACGTGAGATCCACAGCATCATCTCATCGTCCTTAGCTGCGTTTCCTCAACCCAAAAAAGGCATCTTGACGCTGGAATCTGGCAACCGACATGGGGGGGATGAATACAGGCAAAAGGGGACCTCGTCGGACTAAACTCGCTCCTTCACGCTTGTGCTTGCCGCCAACTTCGTCGCAGCAGCAGCAGATTGATGCGAACACCATCCATCCATCATGCAGATAATCCTCGCCCTCCGGTGCACCAGGCTTTGCGTGGTTTTGCCTGCTTCTTCTTCGTCCCCCTCAATCAGAGAGCTTGAGCCCAACTACTGTGCTGCGTTGGTGCCGATGGGGTCATTTATTTATTTTCTCGGCTAATTCACTGTTCACGTTGCATGAATGAATGGATGGTTCGTTGTTGATTGTTCTTCGTGGAATAGAATCGCCATGCTGCTGTGGGATGCTTGCTGCTGCTGCAGCGCCGCCTCGAATTGTAGCATGCTTGCTTGATTCCCTTTGGCCTCCGAAGTTGGAGACCAGGTGATTGTGAGTTGGGGATGAGACATGGTGTGTGTGTGTGTGTGTGTGTGTCACGCTTCGTTGAGACGCGCTGTAGTTGTGAGCCACACACTTTGCTGGCTTGCTGGCTTGCTTGCTTGCTTGCTCTGAAGGGGAAGCATCATTCCTTCCTTCTTTGTCTACCGCCATGGCAGCGATAACTTTATTTGACCGGGTTTCCATTTCCTTCTTTCCTTTTATATATAATTTACTTACTTTTGTGCTGTTATGATGCATGAAATTTTTATATGGATGATTTTATTTTTAAAGATACCTATTTTCTTCTCCTTTTCTAATGCTTGTTTTATGGAATTTTAGTTGTTGTAATAACCCACTTCTACACAAGCTAGCATATGTTGTTGATTTCTAAGCAAAATGCATCAATTGCTTCAAATAAATCCAATTGCAAGTTTGTAGTCAATATGCATTAATTTAATTTAGAATTTTTTGTTCATTTTTCTTTTTCTTTTTTTAAAATATATGATTAGAATATACATGATGCAATAGAGAGGATAAAGATAGAAGACATTCATGCTCTAACTACATGTGGCTAAGGTAAGTACATAAACGTAGTAACTTTTGATACTAAATGACCTATTGTCAATTAATTATTTATTATTTCTTTTTAGATTATCATCCTAGTATGTAAAATGATTCTAATTATTTGCCCTCGGGTTGTGTTGGTCAAAAATACATCTTTGCATATTGGAACAATTGCAGTCACTCATTGCCGCATCCACAAAATTGTACAATGTCTTTGAACCAATGTACAGCACATTTACAATGACATCATAATACCAGGATTATTCCAATCTTTAAGAAACCAAGCTTCTTTTATTACTTAAGTGAAGCAATTTACATTTTTGCATACATTGAATACTTGTGGGATTTGATGAAATCAATGGCACATTAAGTGCTACAACACAGATTGCCAATCATCCAAACTCCCCCCCAAAAAAAGAGCCTCAAAGTCTCTCCAATGGTGTTTTTAAAGCCTAAAACTTTCCTAAGCACCGCTTTCTATTCTATTTTTCAAATGGTGCCACTACTAGTTACTGAAATAGTTTTTACTAGTACAACTTTGTCAAATCTACTTATTGTATTGTCACACAATAATCCTTATTGGCATGATTTTTAGCTTGAAAATCTAGTTGCCAGCACCAAAACACTATTCTTAATTCAAATATATATGCATGTATTACGTATTTTTTTTTATTTTTTTTATTTGTGTAAATTTTGGTAATGTTGTAGAATTGTATTAAGGTATAAATTATAGAAAAATGGGTATTGTACCAAATCAGCCTATTTCAAGCATCATAAAATAGATTAGATGTATTATTATATAATTTAAAACTATTTTTTATCAATTGTCAATTGATTTTATACTCAATTTTATAACCATTATTTTATTTGTGTATAAGAATCAATATTCAAGCATAACCTTGCAAGCAATTACATAAAGTTTTATATATTTTGTTATAAGCATATGAACAACAAGATATTAGATTTTTTTTTTTTTTTTTAATTCCAGTACTTTAATAATCTATAGTACAATTACTATTGCTTCTTTTAGGTTAATATTCACAATGCAATTTTTATCTTTAAATTTAGGACACACATACTATGCTTCCTTTATTTTATTCAAATTTGAAATATCATTATAAACAATTCTTCTAATCATTGTTTGAATATTTTTAATATCATTTTAAGATCATATATATATGAATTTTTTTTAATTAAAAATTCAAAATAGCAAAACATGTAGATTTTGATAACATGTTACTTGCTATGATTACTTTGTTTGCAATATTAAGCTTTTTTAAAGCATCAATAGTCTATTTTATACTTTAAATTTTTATTAGAAATTAATTAATAAAATTTATTTAAAAACTTGACTAGATAAGATATATAATTATCACTTTATTAGGATTTTTTTAAACTCATTCATATCTATATATCAATTGTGACTCAAGATTATTTTTTTTTCTTAATAAGTGGAGGATTTGGATAAATTTATTATTATCTCAAAAGATATATGATCATTTTAGAATAGTTCTACCACATTCTATAATATTGTCTATTCTTTTTTGCTCGTTAGAATTAATTTATAAGCATATTGATTCAAATTTTATTATACTTTATATCTAAGAAAATGCTACAAAAGAAAAATTCTTTGATTACTTTGACAACAATATTTTAAAATTTCTTCTACAAGTTGTTGAATAAGATAACATATTCATTTCACTTCTTTGTTTAAATTTTATTTTTTGGGGGGATTTTTTTTAATTACTATTTTTTAAAAAATATATAATTTTTTCATGTTTATAATTTAAATTTTGAAGCTTCTTTATTCCTAAGCTAGAAATCAAAAAATTCCACAATATAATGTTATATGCTTCAAAAGAATCTCACTAAAATATATACAAAGAAAAATATTAAATAGATCCAAGTTTTCATTAAATCAACCTATCCATCCAAACCATCATGGAAAAAGAAATAAATAAAATAAATAAATAAAACAAAACAAAACAAAAAAAAAACAAATGACATCTAGATTCATTTTTCTACTATTAGATTTGCAACTAATAAAAACCGACCACATTCATCATGATTACCATATTCTTCATCAATGATGGATCTATTTAGTAATAGTATGGGTCTATTTAATAGATATATATATATATATATATAGAAGAAAGCTATTTGATTTTTTTTATTTTTTTAAATTATACAAAAAAATTGTGAGAAATTATACCTAAAAATATCTCTAATAAAAGGCTATGATTTAAAAGCCTTACTAAGATTGCTTACTTGGTGAAGAAAAGCTCTCCTTTAAAAACCTTAGTCTTTAAATATACTATAAAATGAAAAAAAAGACCATGAAATGAATCGAATTATTCTTTTTATTATAAGTCTGAGTTTTACAACTTATATCTTTATTTCAAAAATTATTAAAAGTTCAAAAAAATCTTATTTTTACTTTATTTTTTATTTTTTAAAGAATTTAGCAAAACTTTAAAACAAATTATAAAATCTTCTTTTAAAGACAGATCTAATAAAAATTGTAAACAAATAGCACTATTCATACTATGTAAAAAAATAAAAAATAAAAATAAAAATAAAAAAAGTGCACTCGATCTTATTTTTTTCTTCTTGGAGATTTTAAACTTTTTTTTTTTTTAATTTAAAAACCAAATCAAGGAGCTTTATAAATTTCAATCAATCATAACTTTTAAAAATTGCAGCCTCTCATCTAGTACTTTAAGTATAATGTGCCGCTTGGATGGCTTTTGCATATATTTTAAAAGATGTTTTATGCAAGGCAATTGAATTGAAGTTATTAAAGAACTTATTATCTTATACTATATATATATCAAGATAATAATTCTTCTTAATATGATTTTTTGAGAGGAAACCTTTAGCTATAGTATTTTCATTCATATTTGGATAAAAAAATATTTAATATTCTAAATTATTTTAAGTAACTTAAATCATTCTTCATGTAAGATTTAAATCTTATTATTTTTTATATCTTTAGATTATTTGTATAATTCTTTTATTGATAATGGCTAAATGAAACTTGATTTTATTTCTCTAGTAACTCTTGCTAAAATATTAGTTTGCAATGTATCTATGATTTTTTATTTATTTTCTACTTTTGAATATTAGAATTTTTACAAAAAAATACTTATATAATTTTAAAAAAATTCTTTGAGTATTCTAAAAAAATATCCCAAATTGTTTATTGGATCAAATTCTCTACACTTAAGCTAAAATCCTTTGGAGTTTGAATTGAAATAGTTGTATTTCATACATTGATTTTTTTAAAAGAGATTTTAGAAATTGAATAGAAATTTTGACTATTAGAAAATCTAACAAAGTCAAATCTTCATTGATTTATTATTAAATAAAATAATTTTATGAAAAATTATTATTCTCTACATTAATCTCATCTAATCTAGTTAATAGTGGAATTCTATATCCTAATTATTCTACAAGAAATTTATATATCTTCCATAAATTAATAAATATTTTAATTAGAATCTTTTTTTGAAAAAAATATATAAATTTACTATTTTTTAATCTAAGAATTTTTTGCAATTAGATGATTTATACTATTGATGTTTTGTTAGATTTTAATCTCTATCAATAATCCAAAAAAATATTTGAATGATAAATTTTTAAAATCTACATATAGTTATTATTTTTTAACATTTATGAGATTCCTAATTTTTGTCTCTCTTTCATTTTCCTAAAGAATGTCTTTGAGTGAGATTTGAAGGACTTTATTATTTATAACAAGCTAATAATTGCAACTAAATATTTAAGAGTACAATAAATAACAATACATATATTACATGCTTTAACTTTATTAAGTTTTTTTACATGGATTGAATTAACTTGTAAAGTATATAAACTTATTAAGTCTTTATAAGTTGATCCAATGAGCCACAAAGACATTATTGATTTCTTAGCTCTTTAATTGTAGAACTTTATTTTTAAAAGATAATTTTATCACATTTTAAGTTAGATACTATAAAAAAAAATGACATGGTTTGTAAATTTTAGTTATGTTATTAAAACCACAAATATTATATGATAGTATATTTGACTTTACAAGATTATAAAACTTAAAAGAAAACAACTTATACCACATAGAAGTTGCATCCTAAGTAATCCTAATTATTCTTTAAATTAATAATTGTATATATATATTTTTTAAACTATTAGAGATAGAAGTGACTTGTAAAAAAATATCTATCATTATTAATAATTAATTAATATTCACTATTATTACATACTATGAAAATAATTAAATTAAAATAAATAGGTGGTAAAGGCATTTATAACTTACTTCTTAGTGTAAATATAGTCTTCTACATAATTTTACTTCTAATTATTTCTTTATATTATTTACTAGCACAATCTATCAATAATGACTAATTCTCTGCTAGCTCATTGAATAAGGTGGACAACTCACCTCTATGTATGTATACCACTACCTCAATATACTTTAGCCTCATATATCAATATGCATTAAGAGGTTTCTTCTTTGCTATAAGGTATATCAATTTAACTAGGTAACTTAGTGCCAATCATAGTCATGTGGCTAGATTAGATTGTGTGATTAAGGGCAAAATCCTGGTGGCATTGTTAGTAGGCCCTTCACTTCTACCATCTATTTTTGAGATAATCCTTGCCAATAGTGGAAACTGTAAGTTTCCATAGGTTATATTGACCTATACTTGATCATCTGCTAATTTGCTTGCTTGATTGTACTAACTATGTGCATTATTAATCGAAAGGCAACTTTATTTTTGTGGATGTGTGAATTAACAGATGATTGTTATTAGTTTTCTATCATTCTATATTAAGATAAATGTGTCTTAATCTGTGTGTTCAAGAGTAGATCTAGAAACCCTCTATTGAATCCTTTCTAGCTGCATCAATGCTGTTTAATCATGTTGATTTGGGTTGTTTATCCATGTTGCATTGCAGACTTTGTAATCCTACACTCTTACCTTGGCCACTGCAAATGCTTGACACGCTTTTAATTTAATATAAATTGAAAATTCAAACTTTTCACAATTGTTTTTTTTATGAACTTTTTGGTAAAAGAAAATGTGGGGTTCGTATACAAATACATCCCGAATTACTTAAGATTTGGCATTATTAGTATCCAGAATGTATAATCAATCACTCTACACGTCACATCTATATTCATGCCATAGAACATAACAACTTACAAAGAATAAGATATCACTCATAATTTTTAATAAATGAAACTGATACTCAAAATAACTTGTCATTTTTCAGAAAATTAAAATAAAGAAAAGTGAACAGTAATGCGGAAAGAATTCAAAGGCCTAGAAGATGGGAAGGGATATGATTTTAAAGAAATGAACGGATGTAGAGAACGGAAATTTGCAGAACCCATAACATTATTGTAGTAACAGATGAACGGTAGTAAATACTAGCACAACAAACCATCTGTTGTCGGGACACAAGTACAATCAAACTAAATGACGCAACAATATCCAGACAAATGCCACACAATCTCACACTCATGAAACTGAGGTGAACAGAAAGGAAACTGGCATTGAAACTCACACATGATAAAATGGCCCAACTTGTGCACGAGAAACACGTGGTATAATGAACCAGTTGATTTGCCTCGTAGGCCAATACATTACATGAATCAGCAATTTTTATCCCCCCCCCCCTTTCAATCACTGGGCACAGTCACTTACAAACTGCAAATGCGTCGTTTGCGGCCACCTTCCATTCCCATCTCACTCACGATGAGACCATAAGACATTACCAAGTAGGTGCACAAGCGAACCATCACAAGCTCTCAGACGCTGATTTTGGAGACGCATCGAACAGCAATTAAATTCCTGCAATAAAATCCTGTGCATTTTAGCACTGAAGAATAGCTTCAAAGGTGTGAAGGAGAGAGCAATAGTCACCGCCTACGACATACAAAATCTTATTTATGGAAGCGGATACAGTTTCCAGTGTACTAGAAGTTGAATGCATGTGGACCAAAGTACCTCTAGGAATTGGGCTGATTAAAAACAATATGCTTTGAAGATTTCCAAGTTCAATATAAGGTAGACCTCAGAAGAGCGCAGAAGGTAGTTCTTGGGACATTGAACCTTCCGAATGTACTTGCATCCGATCCTAAAAGACGGACTCACGATCTACGATCCATTGACCTTGTTTCCTTCTAAAGTCGGTTCCAATAAAAGTGCAGGAAAGCAAGTATGAAGTGTGAGTTTTACCTAGACGTCTGGAATGTGAGATAAGTAAGTTGCAGTATTCCTCACCACCATCTTCATGGTTCTCCCAGAAACAGGTACTTGATTGAATGACTTCCTCCAGCACCTAAAGTGGAGGAACTTTGTGGATCACATCGTGACAATAGTCACTCTATCACCGGCGAAATCTCAGGGCACGAACTTTTCAGCTTCTCGATGAAATTCTGGAATGCAGTTTCCGTTGCAGCCGGAGACCTGCAGAATAAATCATCAGTTTTAGATTAATCGTCACCTGATGCAATTCCTTCAAGCACAGCATCGACGATCTATCCAGGACAATAGCGAAGAAGACCTTGGTGTTCACAGTGTTCCAGTGCTGTTTAAGCACTCCATGATAAAACTTCGCCTAATTGAAAACATTCGCCACAACGTGTAACGACTCAAATAAACAATTAATGAGAGCTGGAACTAATAAGAGGTTCACATATCAGGTACGAAACACAGATAGGTATTCGCCATATAGTAGGGGATAGCGATAATTACCTTGCTCTCCGCTCCTTCACGAGCTGGTCCGCAAACCAATCAAGCCGTTCTCTGTTGCTCACAGACAGAGGCATGCGGCCACCAAATGGAAGAAATTCCATGCTTTTCTGATCCAACAGATCTTCTGATAGTTTCAAAAGCTGATTCACATCATTCATGTCCGTCTCTGTCTTGTTTGGTAACCCCGCCATCTGCAAAGGAGCAATAGTACCGCAATCAGGCCACACATCACTATATCAAAATAAATTCATTGAGTACAAAGTAGCACATGTGAGATTTAACTTCTATAGGCACAGACAAAGACGAACCAAGAACAGAAAAAATGTGTAATTTTCTAAACTATCCCACTCCGCCCTCCCATTGAGCTTCCTAACTCACAACACACCTCCCAGACATGCGAAGAGACAAAAACCCAATCTCTTTCATGAGAAAAAACGAATCATCGCACTGGTTGACAATGAAGCTCCAACAAAAGTAGTTAGTCAAGATGAAGTAGAATAGGTCAAGCCTCACTAATAATACTGAAAGTTATTCAGAATGGCTTTCTAAGGGATCTACAAGATAAACCACCTGAATGCGAAGGTAATGTTTGCGATGTTCACCGAAAGCCATGCTGATGGTGTGATCGACCGTATCCGCAACGCCATCCAAAACGATTTTGGCAAGAGGTTTCACCCATTGCAACGCACCCCATCCCCGAACAGTATCGTACATGTAGGTTTGGTCAATTTGCCCAGTTCCGAGGGACAGAACCAACAGGTCCTCCACTCCACGCACGGAGGGAAATTCTCTCTTGTTGTGGAGAACATGCGTAATTGCGGCGGCAGTGGGGTTGTGCATGACGACTCGTCCGTCGATCGCCGTGCAAGAGGTTTTGCCGTCAACGGAAGTGACACATGCAGGGGGGAGGAAAGGGGGAGTGGCAGTTGTGGCACGGCAAATCTCCCAGAGATTGAAGTTCCATGTCTGGTTCTCAAGAGCATCGGCACGCGAGAAGAGGAAAGGGGCGGCAGTCGTAAGGTCGTAGCAGGGAATTAACACAGGCTTAATAGTGTCGCGGAGCGTCAGGGCGCTGCCATCTTCCCTCACCAGGTACTCTTTTAGTACCTGCTCTAGGGGTTTCACCGAGAAGCGACTGCTTTTGCTTGACTTCCCTCGCAACTTCGACCATACAGAGGACTTTGCGACCTTCTTGAACACTTCGCGCCCCCGCTCAGCCATCACCTTCCATGCCTCCTCAGCTCGGAACAACGGTCTGCTGTTCTCGTCACCTGTGAAGAGCATAGTGGCTATCAGACCTCCGACCGATGTCCCTGCATTAAATTTCATAGTCAGATAGGAGGCAATGACGAAGTATACCGCTTGCATTTTCTCGAGAAGATATTGTATTCTCAAAGTGAACCTGAACACGGTCGCAGAAATGAGAAACATCCTGCTCCCCATGGGTGGGATAAAGAAAATTGAAAATCGCGAGCAGTACCATGAAGCTAACCAGACCAATGTATGATAGTCAATAGGATGAAAGTGAAGATCTTCACAAAGCATGGTGGCTGGATACCGAAGCATCACCTGTAACAACATCAAAGTAATCAGCAATGCGTGCATCTTGATCTCCACTTTTCTGCTTCAGAAGCTCCTCGAGATACGCAAGCAGGCGTGCAGGTATAATGCCGGGCGTTCCACCACCATCAAGACTGAGGACACAGACTTTTCCTCGAAGTTCTGAAGTCTTCTTGCCCAAGAATTCGAGATCATCTCCACCCCCTTGCGTGGAGTGCCTACCTCCAATGCCAATCTCCTCTCTCAAACTGCCAAAGAAAGGCTCCAGAGCGATGTCCGGACCCCATTCCATACTACGCAATCACTCTAATTTACCAAAAATATTATCGCACGTAAATATTCACGACGCAAACCTTCAATCTTTATGGAACTTCAAAACTTTCATTATGAAATCGTAGGTGTAGACGACGCGATTCCGTAGGCTCATTCCACTAAATGCTTAGAATGTGCTCATTAGGCTGTCCAACCTTGCGAAGCAGAAGACTTGCATTTGGGAGAAATCAAGGCAAGTTCAGGAGTCCTGAGGTTGAAGCGGACTGGATCTACTTCCGAGACTAGTTCGAAATGAGCATGTGGCATTCCACGTAAATCTAGCCACATCACATGCACCATAAAAGAGAAAAGATACTCTGCAAAGCGAAGAGAGAAGGTGCCAGCAGAAGAAACGCAAAAGCCCAACCAAAACTGAAACAAGTTGGGTGAGCAGCAAGCGCGTAAGAGACAAAAAAGCTCAGCTCCGCGCGCTTTCCAGATACTGTAGCAACACAATCCTCGAAAGCTGAACCAGACGTAGAGCTTTCTCGTAACAACGCCACTAACACTGAACGAAAAAGCTGAAGGTCGCAAAACTTCTCAAACCGGGGCTTCAATTCCTGCAAAACAAACCCCTCTAGTAATATGGATTCGTACGCCCATAAGTGTCTCTTCAGCACTGGACCTATTCAGATCGCTTCTGAAGTCAACCAAACAGTCGTCTATCGTGTGCCAAGTCGCACGAGAGCCCCAGTAGAGTGTCAAGGTGCATCGAAAGCGACTCACATAGATGTGCGATCCCAACACAAACGAAGCCCGAAACGGGCGTGTCAGTGCGCCTCTGTCAAGCATAAACCCACCCCTGGGTTTTAGTGGTTCCTAATCACTCTAGGCACGCTCATCGAGGAAGCTCTGATCTCGGGATCCTCACAGCCTGATCATCATCGCATGAACAAGCTCTCGTACCTGCAAAGCCACGGGAAGGCGAAGACGGAGAACAAAATTTTACAAAATACGAAAACAAAGCACCAAAAATTACAAGAAACTATCAGCTCAGCCTCAATTGGTGCTCGATTTGTGCAAATGAGATCTCGTTGAGACGAGGAAGAGACAAGCGTTTCGAGCGAAAACAGAAAAGAATAAAATATTGGCAGCGCGCACAAAGAGTCTAAGAGAAGGGCGAGGGCGGAGGGGGGGCAATGCGAGGCGGAGCAACGCTGTCGCAACGCTGCAGGAAATAGCACTGAAAACCCGCCTCCTCTCTCTCTCTCTCTCTCTCTCTCTCACATTCTGATTTCCCTTCAACCCTCTAAATATCCCGAAACCGCTTTCACACGGCGTCATTTGTACACTGCTGATGTGGACTTCAACGTCATCTGAACGATTGCGCCATTCTGGTTCTCATCGTAAACTTTAAACCGCTATGCCGAACCCCCCCTTCCAGCGCGTTCCATCACTGTCCCCGCTATGTTTGGAGGCATTTGAGGGAACTCTGGGAACTTCTGGGAACTATTGTTCTTTGGATTAGCGGCCGGTTCCAAGGGTGTTTATATAAGACGGCCAGGGCACTGACGCTAAACTTAGAGGTCCCGCTATTTAATGGACGGCCCTGAATAGGGATACCGTTCTGGAGGTCTGATGTTGGGGGTTAACCAGGAGGGCTTCAACCATTGTTGGTGACGTGGCATGCGCCGTTCCAGCGTGTACTCTCGTGACCCGTGCGTGGGAATAGGATCTTCATTGGGGTCCTATGATCACGAAGCCCCTTTGTTTTCTCATTCTGGGGCGGTGACCAGGTGGGCCACGATGTGTGGGCCCCATATCTCTCTCTGATAGTGGTTTGACTAGTTTTGACTACTTTCCTTCTAATCGTCTTAATCGAAAATTTCCTTCTTATTAAGGCATACGTATCTAAATATATCCCTATTTCAGAAAATACTTTATTCAATTCAAAACGTTACATAAAGAATATTATGCTTTTAAGAATTAAATAACTTTTAAAATAAGTATCAAATTTAATTAACTTGTGTTTACGTAGGAAGTTACTGTCAATTTGCTTTGGAATTTTATGTTCATTATGTAAATATTTGTGATGATGTGGGATGACAGAGAATTCAGATTGCACACATGAGCTCGTAAGATTTTATGTGTGAATTCTGGAAGAAAAAAAAAGAAAGAAGCTAAACACACCCATGAAATCTTGTGTGTGTGTGTGCATGTTTTTTAAGTCACAATTCACCTGTAATACAAATCATTATATTAAAAGACTTTGTTATTTACTTGGTATTTTATGAGATTTTGAATGTGTCATTTTTAAAATTGTATATTTACATAAATTTAGGATATTGGTAATGTCCCCACAATTTTTGCTGCTGCCACTGCAACTTGCCACCCACTTCACATATTTTTTTAGTTTCTATTTTAATTTTTAAAATTAATTGTATTTTAAATATATATATATATATATATATATATTAAATCATGTATGAATAAATAAAATTTAAACTTATTTTCAATGTAAAATAAATAACTAATTAATAAAAATATTTTTTGGTGACTATAGCAAAAAAACCATGGCAACCTATAATGGATGGCAAATTGTGGTCGAGGTAACAAAAGTTGTTGTGATATTAACAATACCCTGAATTTAAAGAAAAATTTCTAACCAATTATAATACATGCCAATTAATTAATTTGAGCAACATTTGATAGAAAAATCTTATTCAAATATTTGAAATAGCTTGGTTATAAAATCATGTAATATAATTTCATAAATTAACAAATATAAATATCAAGCAATCTTTGAAATAAATATACACATTTACTTTTGAATAAACTATAAAATGGATATATATATATATATATATATATATATAATTGGAAATCTGAATCATACAATACAAAACAATCATTCTATGAGCTCAAATGTTGTTGACATAGTGAAGACTGACAGAATGATTTTGAAACACATTTGAATCAAAATTGTTAAAAAAATCATAATTGTATGTATGTATATATATATATATATATATAGGAATATGTTTGCAGGTGTCATTTTTCGAATATGCATTGTAAAATTTCAAACAAGATAGTTGTAAAATTAAACTAAAACTGAAATAATTTCACATTGTCAAATATTGATTTGGACTCTGCCACTCAAAATCATAATATTAAATAATACACCACAGCTTTTAAATTTTCAATGCGTCTAAACTTAAAAAAATTATTTGAAATTTAGTCATGATATAAATAATGTTAAAATACTATAGAATTAACGCAAAATAAATGATTGAGTTGTTTTATTCTAGTTTTTAGTTGATTAGTTCATGTTACTTTTATATTGACAAAATATGAATAGTAGAATGAATATGTACATATATAGTAATTTGCTAAAAATTGGAAGATTAAAGTGCAACATGATAACCATTTGTTCTTTTGTGAAAGTATGAAATGATTTGCAGGCAACAGACAATGACAATAAGTTATATAAGTTACAAACAAGACCATAAGATTTTTTAAACAAGTTTTAAGTAACGTTGACAAATGATTTTTAAAAATTCAAATTTTAAAAATAATTGTTCATCAAAATAGTGAAATAATACAAAAATAAGGAACTTCTGATAACACTTGCCAATCACACTATTGAAACATGTTTTCTTGAAATTATCTAAAAGAAAAACCTGATATCTAGAATTCTTAACAGAAGCCTGTAAATACTTGTTTAATTATTGTTGGAAGAAATTAAAACAACCTTAAAGAAACTTTTAGGAACATTGTTCCCTGAAGTACTACCATATAACTATAACTACTTCATATATATATATATATATATATATATAATTTATTAAAATTTTATTTTTTTACACAGTGGGGTTTTATTTATTTATTTTATTTTTGCCAAATTTTCTCAGAAATTGAAGAAATCGTAATCTCACACAGAATCACAATAAACCAATTTTTTGTAGTATTAATATAATTAATTCTGAATTAAGAATATTATAACCTTCAGTGATTGAATATGTCCAAATAGATAATGTGTGGAAACCATGAAATTCATGGATATATATATATATATATATATTATATTGATATTTTGTGATTAAATATCATGTTTTGTTGTAAAAACCAAAAAGTTGCTTAAATCTTCTTTTAAAAATGCAGCAGTCTAAAAACAATCAATGTGAATATAGTCAGTCATAAATTCTATATTCTTAGTTTTTGCAATAGGAATGCAAAGAATTTAAAAGGTGTACAATGCCAGGGTTTTCAAGTTGAATGGCTCACAACTCACTTAAGAGTTATCTATTGATTGCAACCGTTACATGTATTGTGATTTATGCACAGAAGTAGAGGTCTCTAATCATTAAGGTTGAATTTTCTAAACGTCAATCACAAATTATAATTATATATATATATATATATATATAACAAATTGTTTGTTGTTTTAATAATATGAAATGATTGGTTGCTATGTACAGAACGGGCAAAGAACCCAGAATTTTACTCGGATAATACACAACTTAAAAATGAATTTTCGCGAACAAAAAATATATATCAGGTGTACAGAGAAAAAGAAAAAGAAAAAAAAGAGTACCAAGTCAAAATTGAAATGTCATTAATTTGAGGAAATTGTCATCAATACTACATTTCTCAACCATAGAAACTTGTTCTCATTCGTACATGCACATTTAAATACATTCATTCATACATACAATTTCATCCATCCAACCATCCATTCATGCATCCGCTCATTCATCCGTGTATATACATATGAATGATATTTGGGAGCAGAAGAGCCTACACATGTGAATAGGGGTGACAGTGATGGAGGTGTGGGTTCCAAGCCACCTTCGCAGAGACACCAGCACGACACAAGTCAATCCTGGTCAACAACGTCCAAGCCTGACCTGGGCTGGACGGGCTGGGCCGGGATTTGGGGGAGGGGGATGGGAGGACCCTTTATTTCTGTGTGTTTCAGGTTGGTTCCCTCCACCTGACAAACAGTCGGGAGGGGTGCTGCGTCAGCACAAGTGGGGTAGAAAAAGTCACAGAGGTAGGACAAAATTAACTAAAATCAATGATAATAATAATATAATATTAAAAATTTGTTCAAGAAAAATAAGCCTGTAGAAACAAAGTATGAAGAGTGGATAAATTTAGGGATTGTGGACACTGCTGATTATCCATGTATCAAGCTTTGGAGTGACTCCACCACCAAATATTCACACTGAAAAAAAATTAAAGAATAAGGAAGTGCAATTGTAAATAAGGAGAGCGAAGGAGGATTACATGTATGCATAATTTAATCCTATTATATTACCAAAATAGACAGCATCGTTTATTTCTGAAGTAAAATAGCGCCGCAATTAATTTGTATACAAAACATAAATTAGCCTATATTGTTGTATTATTTGCATTAAAAATATGTCTGTAAATGGAATGTGTGTAAATTATGTATGTATATATATATATTTAAATATGGCTATTGGCCAAACAAAGCTTTAAACCAACCTCTATAACCCAAACAAACACATGGGGTGTGGAATCAGCACTTTAAATAAATAAGTGAATGAATGAATGAATGAGGGGGGAGGCTCTGACACTACCAATAAATAGCCTTTCGCATCTCCTCCCACTCCACTCAACACCTCCACACAGGCCCTCATGCTTCCTGCACCTCCTCATTCATTCGTGAGATGAGTCTGTCCCCAATTTGGATGAAATTTGGTACCAAAAAAAGTTGGATGAGGACCCCGCAGGAGAGCAGCCAAGGAGCATGCACCTGAGCATGAATCCCAGTGGAAGCGCGACTAGCCAGCTGCCGGTGGACTGCATGTGAGTGTGCGTCATTCTACCTCGATGACCTGCTGGGCCAGTGGAAGTTGAAAGGTGTGAGAAAAAAACACAAATCTCAAACCCTAATTTGTAAAGCTTAGATCTAAAACCCTAAAACCGTTAGTTGTGGGTGTAGAGAGACATCCAAGGATGACAATGTGTGTGTGGGAAGCCACAGAGTGAAACTTCATCCATCCCCAAAGAATCTGGGTGCCACAGCTAAGTTGGGTCTTTATTTGTGGATGAGTTTTGTCTGAGGGTGGCAGACATTAATTGTGACATTACAAAAACCTGGCTGCAGTGAAAGTTAATGTCCATTGAAATGAAATCTTACCAAATAAATGAGCTACTGAATGGAAATAAATAATAATAAGAAATGTTGAAGATTCTCATGCAAACCCCCTCTTCCATCAGGTACTCCACCAATCTCTCTAAACATGCCTGTTGCA